AAAAGAGAATTTTTTTATTAATTCAAATAGAAAAGACTTCGAATACAGAAAAATACTGGACTAACAGGCTTGATTGTAGCAGTAACTGTTGTCTACAAACTAATCTAACAATACTCCTAAAATTCCCAAATCTTGGGTCTTGTAAGGGTTTAAATGCACTTTGGATTTTATCCATTATATGCCTTTTATAGCGCCATTATCCTCAATATTTTTTTGCCTCCATTGACGGTTACTAGACTGGTAACTTTCAGTTAGTTACTTCTTCTTTTCGAATGTGGCTATGGCTAATCATCTCCCGTCATTCTTCAAATTTTGCCACGTGGCATCTTCTTAACAAATTCAGATTTGCCAAATGTCCATGCATTGAACATTCATGAGATTTTATATTTTAAGTCTAAACAATTATGGTATATGTATAATCATCATGTATACGAATTGAAATAACTTTTATGTCCACACGAACTTCCCCCCCCCCCCTCCCCCTCAAACACCATTATCCCAAAACTCATCTCTCTCTCCCGTGCTGGTTTTTCGTTAACAATTTAAATGACAACTAATGTTAGGGATCAAATCAATTGATCCACTTGTTAAGTTTGAGGACTAATTTGATGAAAGTGACAAACCAAGAACTATGGCGCAATTTATCAAAAAAATATTAGTGCATGAGATATTGTAAGGATGTGTTGTCAAAAGGGGCAAACTTTATTTTACCCCCTTGTCCCATAACTTCATTTTTAGTGTGGATTCATTGTCTTTCTAACTGAGTTTGTATCATTTGTAACTAATAAATTAGATTGTAATAGAAATTTTTTTAAACACCCAACTAATCTTGATAGACACGTCAATTCTCTTATTTGATATATACAAGGCATTTATGAAGAATTATCTTTGTAGTTGAAACTCATAATGAACTCGAACTCAAAATCTTTTAATTTTATGGGTTAGGATTCTAATCTCCTATGTCAATCTTTGAGGAAGTTTTTTCATTTTATAATGGGTGGTATTGCAAAGAACATTTCACACTTATAGAAATATTCTAGCACAAGTGCTTATAGGTTGTCAAGATAAAACATCACTATATGACACTGGATGACATTTTTTATCATTCCTTGTTGATGGGTTGAGATTACCCTTCAAAGTTGAACATGTCATGTTACCATAATCTATTGGTTTGTTGATAATTTTATGTGCATGGTTTTGTCAATTTCTTGCATTATCGGTCTCTAAGTTCTATCAGTTTACTTACCTTTTTAGGCATGTTTTGGGGGTCTAGAATTGTTGGAAATATCAATTGCACATGACAAGTCAGAAAGACTTTAAGAGACTATTACAAAAATAATTAAGGATTGTCTATAACTATTAACAAAAAATAAATAAATTATTTGGTGCCCTGTAACACTTTGGATCACCCAAGCATGCCACGTATTCCTTTAGTCACACGAGTTTGCAAATAAGTAATTTAACATGATTAGGCATCAAAAAAATTCAATTCATACATAAATAATAAAACAATGAATGTTGAGCGAACACAATTAAGTTTAAAATAGTAATACGATCATAACATTAATATAGTGTCACAATAGAGAGCAAAGATCCTAATAGACCATGATTAACCTTAAAAAGTGTGTAAATGAATTAGGGTTTAGGGTTAATTATGTACGTTAATTGTTTTAAAGTGGTTAATTGAGATCATATTATGATTAGTGTTTGAATTATATATTTTGTAGGATTTTATATGTAATTACGAAAACTTGGAGGGTTAAAGTGTGAAAGAACAACAAAGGAGAGAGGCAAAAAAAAAATCAGTAAGAATACCACCATCTGGATGGTGAAAGCACCATCGCAGCAAAGCAAAGACAATCGAAATCATCAAAGGAAGCCAAAGAAACAAAATCCACAGAAATGGCACCATCCGAACGGTGGTAGTGGTGCCCAAATAGTGACCTTAACCGCCTCAACTTCAAGCTCCTCTCCCATTGGTCCATTGGTGCAACCAAGCTCCTGATTGGTCCTTGTGGGTGTCTGCCGCCTTAACTAGACTTTGACGCCTTTAAAAAGACATGTTCAGGGTCATTTTCAAAGGGAGATCTTCCAATTTTTGGGGAGCAAAAGTCCTAGAGAAAAATACACCACACTCCCAGCCAAAAATTCTCTTCTTCTGTATTTCTTTTTATTCCTTTTTACTTGGAGGGTTAAACCTCTCACTTTTTTGCCATAGTTGATAATAAGAGTGAAGGTGTTTCAACTATTACTCAGGCAATGATTCTTTGTGTTTTATTTTGTATTTTCGTTGTATTGCAATCTTGTTTGTCTATAGCAACAGAGAATGAGTAGTCATTTTATACTCTTTAGTAAAGGGTAAAGACATGTCTAATATTGTTTGAATAATGAAAATGCTGGTGTTTTATCTATGTCTTAATGTTTAGACCACCCTTAAGTGATGGATGGTTTTCATTTCTGTTTGGTGTCGTATTACTATATTCTCATAGTTACAGGTACCAAGCTAAACTTATTACTATATATCATTTCATCTATATGTTATTATGTACTTCATGCATGATACAACGATATACGTAGTTAGGATTTATATAATAGTCAGGAGATTGGTTATAGACGGATTAAGTCTTGTCATAGCCATGTTTTTGATTCAATGCATAAATCGGAATTCCACCTTCATTGAATCATGGACCTGCCGATCGATTAACTATAGTAAACCTTTTGAATGGTTCACCTTTGGGTTTACTAATGTTATTTGGTTGTTGCAAGGTGCATAAACCTTCCAGCTAATTTAACAGTTGTTGTGATATGGTTCAACTACACATCAAACCTACCGATTAACTTTTTGTTGACACAGGAGTTAATTGCTTTAATGTGGCATTTTCATAATCAAAGAATAGAAAGCATGTTGGATCCCCAAACTAAATAGTAGATTTTTTCAATTGTTGTAATCAAAAGTTTAGTTTAAGTATTTACTTATTAGTTCTAAGCTCATATCACAAGATGTTTTAACGCACACCACACGCACGACAATTTCACCATTTTCTACTTTAAGTTCAAACAGATAACTCCCTGTAGATTCAATTTTGGACTTCACTGAGTAATATTACAATTTGACCATTTATACTTGGATATGCAATTAAGATCAAGTCAGACCACTCAAGGGCGACATGAACCAATCATTTAGGGCACTTTCACCCCAAGAAAGATACACTCCCTAATTCAATACAATCCAATTCGGTACCCAAGTACGAAGATCAACAAGGCCACCCAAATATTTATGATCTCAATGAAACTCTCTACAGTCTCAACATGGAATGTAAATTCTTTGTCACTAGATCATATATGCACTTACATTTTATTCAAAAGGAACTTGGAATTTCAGTTTCATACAATCTATACGAAACATTCACGTATCACAACCCTAATCGGGTCCAGAGTTGCAAAATAGTATGAACCACTCAATTATAATTCATATAACATGTTAAACAATGTAAATAACATAATTGAATAGGTTGGAAATAGTTTAGAAAATTTTGTTCGTTCCAAAATTGAGAAACCTATCTTGGACTGTGTTTTAATTTGGAACTGCCAACAATAAAATAGTATTATTTTTCAATGAAATTTTGCACACTTACTCAATGTAACAGTTTAAAAGTGAATATAAATTTTTTTTTGACCAAAATCACACAAAAAGTAGGTCAAATTGGACCCTGAGGGCAAAATAAGCATTTCGTACCTCAATTTCACCGAAGTATCGGTTCACAACGGAACTTTATGGGGACCTCCGTATGTGTGTAAGGGACATTTTGAGACCAACCAGAGGTCCAAGAGACCTCCCACACGTCGTCAAGTTTGGAGGTAATTTGAGGGGTCAAACAGGCATTTGCAAGTGCGGCCAACCATGCAAAAATGGTTTTTGCGCCTTACTACAACAAAAATCGTCTTTTGCAATAATTTTTTTTCGTCGCTAAATCAAAAAACATTGTCACAAATATTTTTTTGCAATATTTTTTTTTGTCACTTGTTCGTCGCAATAGTCTTGTCGCAGAAAGTATATTACACCGCAAATTTATTTTCATCACAAAAAAAAATATTTTCAACGAAAAAATAACCGTCGCTAAAATTTCAAGAAACATAGCTAAAATCTGTTTCACCAGCATAAAAAATAAAAAATAATAATTTAATTAATTGTTTGCTATATAAAAAATTAGTCGCAAATAATTTTTTACATAAATAAAAAAGTAAAGAATAATAATTTAATTTATTTTTCGCAACGTAAAAAAATTATAGCAAATAATTTTTTACATAAATAAAAAAATTAAAAAACTAATAATTTAATTATTTTTTGGATACATAAAAAAATAATAATTTAATTAATTTTTAGCAACGTACAAAAATCGTCGCAAATAATTTTTTCCATAAATACAAAATGTAAAAAATAATAATTTAATTAATTTTTTGCGACGTAAAAATATCATTGCAAAAAATTTTTTACATAAATAATAATTTAATTAATTTTTTCGTGATGTAAAAAAAAAGTCACAAATAATTTTTTACATATATAAAAATGTAAAAAATAATTGAATAAATATATTTGCGACGTATAAAAATCGTCTCGAAAAAAATTGTTCCTACATTTTTTCGCAACGATTTTTATTTTATCGCAAAAAAGTTCATTTTTTTTAAATAATTCATAAAAAATGATATTCTAATAAAAGTTTTCACCTGTACACCATTAATACCTGTGTCGATAAAAAAAACTAACACAATTAATACATTTCACATCTTTTAAAACAAAAAAAAAATTATTTCCAGAAATGAATGAATTACAAAAATCAAAGAACAAGAAGTTCTAAAAATAGAAAAAATTGCTTTAATCCTTCAAGAAGATTTAAACTATCTCTAATTACATTTAATGTCTCTTAAACTTGAACAGCTCCAATAGTCCAGCTTCGTGCCTTAAAATACCATCTCCAAGCTCAACAGATCAGTACCAGCCCAGACTGAAGTCAGATCAGAACAATCAGGCCACAGTCCAGGTGCTTGATCCATTCAACTCCTGGCACTTTACAGCATACAGGCACCCTCTGAACATCATTCCATCTCAGAATATCTACAACAATCCAGCTTCACCTGCTACTCATCAGCACTGCACAGACTGCAGTAGTACAGACTGCTAAACATGCACTCCTCATTCTTACAAAAACTACACTTCAGAATTCAGCTCCTGAAATCTAACTCAACACCAGACAGAATTTAGAGCAGCATCAATCTGTCAAAATAGCAGAAAACCACCGAACCTGAAAAACTTTCTGTTAGAAATATCAATTTGTATGCTTTCAAAAATTTCAATTCCCCTCTACCATATCAAGTATCACCAGCAGTACAAGAAATGATATTCTACACAGAAAATATCCACTTTGTCCCAAATGAGAACCATGAATAAAGGTGAAGCCTATCCTTGATCCTCTAAAATCTGGGAAAACACAAAGCTACACGAAGAATCCAAGCAGGGTGGATGAGAAATGACTGTATCATAACATATTTCCGAATCCTTATTTCATAGTGATGCAATTAGGATAGAGGACCAAATTTTGTTTGATAAGAGAAAGGAATTTAGTTTCAAGAAAGAAGACTAAGAAGCTAGGTTGATTGAAGATTATACAAACTAAAATTTTTTGTTTGATTTCAATGAGGATAGATTATTAAGTGAGCCCAAATGAATGAAGTGTGTGTACTACATGGCGCAGGCAGCTAGGAATGGGCGTCAATGACACCAGCCATGATTATTGTATGGTTTGTCCTAGTAGTAAGGTGTTGTGACCAAATCAACGCTAGATGAGCCCCAATGTGCAGAAGCACAATTCCCAACATAGAGGCTTTAGTCAATCACTAAGAAAAACTCTTCAGCATTATGTTTTTGTTACGATCTTTTAGACACTGTGATCTAGGTAGATTTGGAGAATTTTAAGTTGTCCAATAGAGAGGAATTGTACTTGCATGCAGATACACAAAATACATCTTATATAGAAAAAGAATGCAAATCCATCACCAAACACATAAATTATGAAAGAAAATGTAGTAAGAAGCCTGAGAGTTTCAACTTACATTCTCTTTCAGCTCAGTGAAGTTCTTAATTCTATTAATCAACTCAGCTTTTGGAATAAAAGCTCGCAAATCCTGCAAAACCAAGTTCCCAAGATATAATTCATTGAGACATGCTTATGCATGCATGAGACAGAGAGAGAGAGAGAGAAAGAGAGAGAGAGAGAGACCTCAACCCTTGTAAGGAGACCCCCTGTATTCCACTCTGTAATTCTAACCTCGATGGGTTCATTGAGCTGCTTAATCTGCACTAGATATAACAATATAACATGAATTTAACAAAAAATAAGAATAGCACTGGTCAAGAAATCTTGTAAGACACAACTTTGAGCTATAAAAGAATGAATGACAAGCAATTAAGGCAAATATTAACTTCCATTTTAAAAGCTTTGATAGGAAATGGCTCCAGCCACACATAATATACACTGGAAACCAACTAATGAAGACACTCTCTACTCTTTTTTGCTTTGAGCCACTCAAGCATCTGTCACTGCAGAGAAGGGTTTCGCCTCATAGCCACCTCAACATGCCCACTGTTATGGCTCTCAGAGCTAGTATGTAGGAGGCAAAAAGATAGCAACTCATGGAATATCTTATAAGCATCCATGAGACCACCTGACAAAATGTGGCTAATTTGGAGACATCTATGCTTGGAATGCTGGAACCTTGTCAAGTTCAAGTGGTGCCTTGACATCTACGCTTCCTACCTTTCCTCAATCACAAGTACTGCTAAGCTTGTTAACTTGACAGACACGACTCTTGTGCCCAGAGAACGGACCAAGTATCCAACCACTAAAATTAGTTAAGCATGTTGTCTTGATGAATAATCTATCTCAAAATTTTCCTAACCCTCTATGTCAAATATCAAGTTGTACTGGTGACTTTAATGAATTTGTGACACATTTTTCTCATCCAACGTTGTATACAGCTTTGGTTTCTTACACAAAATTCAGCTGAATGGTGGACCACTGTGACAGCAGACATATGACTTAGGAAAAAGGTCAGCAGATTTGAACAGCTAGGCAGCATCGTGCTGTTTGGGAGGAAGCAATTGCAGATGGCAGGGTAGGTGTGGTTGGCTTCACACTTGTAGCATTTCACAAAAAAGGTGGCTTCAACTACAGAACTTCCTGTTTTGCAATGAAATGAATTCATGTAGAGCAAGTGACCATCTATTCCAACCTATAGTCACTTGAACAAAGGTTTGCATCAATTCATGGAAAACGAAATAAAGGGGAACCCACATAAACAATGCTTTATGTTAGGTTGGAACTTATATTGTAGTGGTTCCGGAAGTCCTTCTGTCTATGGTATACAGTCATGCTCTCTCCTTTCCATAAATACGATGTTGCAGGATTGGTAAAACAAGACAACAGTATATTGCAATAAATCACTACATGTTTTATTATTCCAAGTCTGAGAACACATAATCAACAAGAGGTCACAAAATTAATCTAAATTAAAGAAAAAGAAAGAGAGGGAAGAACCTGCCTCACTCGATGCCACGTGATACGCTTAAATGACCGTCTTGTTGACAGCAATGGCCTCCCACTAAGTGTCCTCCCAAGAACCTCAGCAGAAAAAACAGTTCCAGACTTCACAACTGGCCTCTTAGGCATTGGTTCACCACTCAATGCATCCTCATTCCTCAGAATTCTCATCTTCCCACGTACCATTAACTCCTCCACACCCTTCTCCGTATCACACAACAAATAATCCAATTCTTTGTCATACAAAGGTAAAACTTCCTTAGTCAACATTGTGCCCAACAAGTCTGCCCCAACATTCACATCAAGCTTGTTCTCGCTGCCTGAAACCACAACACCCACTACAAAATCACCCAGTTTTGGCTCATAATACTCAACACTAACCTTCTTACTCTCATCCTCACTTGAATTGTCCTCCTTAATATCTTCCGAGTCATTTGCTTGCTCCATTGAGTCTGTAGGCCTGAAGAACTTATAGAAAGGCTCTAACACCTCATCTTCATCAAGTTTTCTAGGTTCATCCTCTACTTCCGTGACAGACCTATTATTTACCAGCGTTGGTGAAGGCCTATTCAGAAACTCAAGCTCTTCAAGTTCTTCAATTCTCTCATTTTCATGCTTATTTTTAGGCCTTGTGGGCAAATTGGTAGCCGGAAAATCTACAAAGATTTTATTTTTTGAGCAGAAAGAGACATGGGAAGGTGGACATAGGAGGCGGTGGAGTAGGGTAAATAAAGGAAAACAGTGAGGGGGAGAGAGAGAGAGGACTTGCAGATTAATAGAAGTAAGGAGAAGGGGGAGACCGACTGCCTTGGGCTGAACTTGAGACTTCGATTGCCTAGCCTGATTTCACTGGAGATTTCGATTGCCTTGAGACTCAGCGAAAGTTATCATTTTTGCTCGCTTATGACTATATTGCTGGTGTTCACCAAGCAGTTCTAAAATACTACGTTTTTAGGCTAATCATGAGGAGTAACAAAAAAAACTAACTGAGCTATATGTTCTTATGTCTCCCCCATCAATGTGGAGAAGTAATCTTCTTGTTGTTCTATGAATATGCTGCATAAGATCTGGTACAACATCCACCTGATAAAAAGCACATCCGGTTTTTCAAACCTAGGAACTTGTAAAGAGGCAACAAGAGGAACCAGAAATAATATTGCAGCCAGAAAAAAATGAAGGAAACAGTAATGAAGAGAAGATAATTGCTTACAGAACCCCAAACTGTCAGCCCAGTGAGCTCTATATGTGCCATTAATGTGCAAAGATAAACTAATTGCTCCTGATGTCTGCATGAAAGGAAAGGCTTGAGAAAACCATACAAAGAGCATAAATGTACCAACAAGTCAACTACAGTAACCAGTTAAATTTGGCAAAAACCTCGAGTGGTGAAACAGGCCCAACCCAGCCACATTATCCAGCTCCCCAAATCTGCAAAGGATAGTAAATTAAATAAAGGAATGTTAACAAGACATCTAAGCAAGAAAAGGAAATTATAAATGAGAAAACCAATGTAGTACCCTAAGTTTTTGTCCCACAAAAAGTTTCCCAGCAGCCATCTTATCCCAATCCAGCAGTACATCCAGTAGAGCACTCAACAAATACCAGAGAAACAAGAAAGTTTGCAATCTACAAAATAACCAGGAAAGATTATCCAAGCAGAGACCAGTAAACCAACTGTACAGTCACATGATACAAAATAACCAAAACCAAATCAACAGCTCCACCCAAAAACTTTCTCCAGACCAGTTTAAAGCAGCAACCAGCTAAGCAAAGCACTTTCAAACCCAAAACTACAGCCTGCCAATGCCTCTTAAAAGGCAAACTCCTCAAATCACATATTAAAACAACAATCACACATCAAAACAAGATGTAATAATACAATATCCTTAAATACAAAACCAAAAGATAATTTGTCAACTACTTTAATGAAGAAGTCCAGAATTCATCTGTTACAAAAAAGAAAAAAAAATACATTAATAAATTATCATCTCAAATTTTTCAAAAACATACAGGTTTTCTAATTCTTAAGTGTTGAAATTTTTAGTTTTTATACTTATTAAGTGTTGAACTTAAAACGATAATCAAAAGATACTAAATAAGACTCAAGTGGCATGTCTGCATTAGTTGAGGTGCCCTGTAGAGCACGTTGCATTTGAAGTTGCATCTGCAAAAGTTGTTGTATCATCTGTTGCTGCGCGTCTTCAAACTTCTACTGTGCATCTTCAAACTTCTCTAACTTCTCTTTCGTTTCATCACGTTCCTTCTGAAGATATTCAACAGTTGCTTGCAACTCTTTTATCGTATCAGCTTGTTCTCGATACTCTACAGTGGATCTGAATGACTGACTAGAGGATATAGGCTTCAAGCCATGTCCAAATCTTTTCTTATATCCAGGTCGGCTGCCAAGGACTGTACATGCAATTTCATCTTGTGTCAATGACTCTACACCCTCTTTTAAGTTCTGTCTAGACAATTCTTTCATCCGATCCTACAATTTAATGTATTTAAATCCAATTAGGGAGTGTATCATAAATTTATTTTAAAAAAAAAATAATTTTCTAAAATTTGAAATACTTATATAACTTGGCTCTGTCTCAGCAGGAACCTACTCACCCTTCTTGTTCACATGAGAATCGTGAAAAAAATCAACAATGTGGTGTGGCTCATCAGTCGTAGGGTTTATCTGTTATAGTTAATCAAAATATCAATATTCAAATTTATGAATTTCCTATATATTAAAATTTAGGAAGAAAATTCTAAAGTATAACACCCTTTCATATAGGGCAAACCGAAAGGACTTTGAACCCATTAAGTGGTTGTAAGGCAGTTTGGCACAATTTTTCACATTTTTCTTAAATTTTGCCTAAATACAACATAATTAGTACACAATTGGGAATAAAAATTGGATATTAATTTACATAGCTAATAAAAGTTACTTGAAATTTTGGGTCCTTGTAATGTGTTTCAATTATGTACTCTCAATCCTCCTGACTCACATCACCATATGACTTGCTCTTTGGGTCAACACTAGACTCAACCAAATCCTTGTAATGCATATGTATATGGTATCGGCGGTCCCTATACGTCGCAGCAAATTTTTTGTCGATGGACTTCCTAACACTATCTTTTTCACGATAATTTTTAATGATAAACTTTGTCTACAACAAAATATAAATATACAAATTAATTACAACATGTTGTAACACTACACAAACAAATATATTGTTAAAACCAAACAAATATATCCACTAACCAACAATCGTGCAATGAGTGGTGCCTTCTCCTCTTCTGTTATATGCTTCCATTTGTGCACATTTCTAATAGGGGTAAACGTCCTCGCCAGAGAGTCAATCTCTGTCGTCACCTTCGAAGAATTTACACCCACTAGTACGCTGACTCCATCAAGAATCAAAACATCAAGGGGGCCATGAGCTACACGAAGACGCTCAGCAATTTTCCCTCTAGACGGTCCTTGACCTTGTTTCTTGGTGGTAGAAGCTGCTGCGCAAACATTAATAATAAATGTTAGTCCACCATATTAAGAAAAATATGTTTAGAAAGTAAAATGCATCAAACCTATACTGTTACTCTCAGTGCCTGCAACAGGCTGTGATGTAGGTGCATCAGATGATACAGCCCTAAAATTTGTACTTGAGTATGCACCCCTAGTAGGTGCCTCAGAGGATGCAACCTTACTAACTGTTGTGATGGCTCAGCGACCTAGTCTCATATATATAAAACACCTAACATATAGAAATATATAAATTATATCGACAATATCCAAGTATACCAATTATATAAGTCACATTTCATTAATTACCATGAAAATATCTTAATAATTCATCTATATATCTGACTCTTCATCAGAATCAAAATGGGAATGCACATCATCATCTTCTGAATCAACATACTCCACTTGTGTCTCATCATTGTCATCACATATGAAATAATCAATGTTATTGTCTTCTCTGCTTCCACATTGGACAATCTGGTCTCAAAGAATGATTTCTGGATCAAGATCAGTCCTATGAAGTTCAAAGAATTCGTTATCTTCGACCACTACAGGAGCAACATCTGTTGATTCATCCTGTTCGAATGCGTCACTTGGAACATACGATTCATTTTCACTAACTTCTACATCTTCCAACTCAGGAACATCTCATATTCCTCGATGATGTATGTATTGCACAACTTCCCAATCCCTACCCAATTTTGTATCATTAACATAAAATACTTGTTTCGCCTGATCAGGTAGGACAAAAGGGATCATTTTTATACCATCAACTTTTCACATTAATGCTTGTAAAATGAGCATCAGTTTGAACTGTTTTCCAACTACCAAGGTTGAACCATTCACATTGGAACAAAAAATTACTATGGCCAAATATGTAACTCATCTCCCACACATTATTTAAGTATCCGTAGAAGTTAATTGTTTTGTTATTATGTTCTCCTTCTACAACTACCACATTGTTTTGGCTTTTTCGACGATTGTCACGCTCTTTATTGTGAAACCGGACACCATTGCATATTGTCCCATAGTACAATTTTATTGTCACGTCAAGACCATTTGCTAGTGATCACAATTCATCAGTTGCTTCATGTGACCTTTCGCCTTGCAATTGATTCATCAACACACATGAATATGAAAGTTTTTATGGTTTTACAAACTAATGCAAATAATGCATATAATCTAAAGTTTTTATGGTTTTGTATAGCTTACACGTTTTGCAAACCACTTGGGAAATTCTGCTTGGTAGCAATGAGTGATGTCACCATTTCTTTCCAACTCTAATATATTTTTATGTTCCCTACGTATAAAACCATAAATTTGACATATAACAAATTTTACACAATTAAAAGGTACAATAAGAATGGTCACAAATATGTATATTTAACATACACATACTCTAGATATGAATCCAGTTCGGGACTATTATATAGGACAAACCAATGAGCCATCTCTCGTTCTTGTTGAGAGACCTCAGTTGCTCTTGTAATTCGCCCAAAAGGACGTACATTTTGGATGAACACATCTAACCCATGCACATTTTCAACTCGATCTGCATTTTGTTTCTCGTGATTAAAAACTGTTTCAATACTAGTAAGATATATCGAGCAAAAGGTAAGACATTCTTTGACAATATAAGCCTTCGCAATTGAACCCTATAGACGAGCTCGATTACAAACATATCCTTTTAAAGTTCCGAGATACCTTCAGTAAATCACAAAACATATAAGGAGATAATAAAAAAACCAAATGAGAAGCTAATAATAATTTAAAATATTGCCTTTCACTAGGTACATCCACCGATACTGCACTAGTCCAGCAATTTTACCTTCCCTTGGCAAGTAAACTGCTAAATGCACCATAACATCGAAGAATGCTGGTAAAAATATCTTTTCTAACTTACAAAGAATAAGTATTATGTTATCTTGTAATGCATCCAAGTCTCTTACCATCAATGTTTTTGCACAAATTTATTGAAAAACATTTCCCAGCTCAAACAAAGTGGTACAAATTTCCTTATCCAAGTAACCACGAATTCCAAGTGGAATAAGTCGTTGCAAAAGAACATGACAATCATGGCTTTTCAGACTGATACCTTCCCATCCTTCATGCTCACAGACCTCGATATATTTGTTGCATATCCATCCGAATACTTAACTGATTTCAAAAATTCACAGTATCTTTGTCTTTCTTTTTGAGACAAAGTATACCACGCAACTGGTTTTACATATAACTCCTCATTCTTTTGGAGGTGCAATTCTTTTAAGATATTTAGATCCTCCAAATCCAGACGAGCTTTATCTGTGTCTTTATTCTTGCCATCAATACTCAACAATGTGCCAAGCAAACTATCACATATATTATTCTCTATGTGCATGACATCAATGTTGTGTCAAATCTTAAGCACATGCCAATACGGTAACTCAAAAAAAAAATGCTCTTATTTGTCCAATTAAGTTCCTCAAATGACCGCTTTCTTTTTCGATTGTTTGGATGTTTCCCGAATTGCACATTTGGTATACAATCCAATTGATCTAAAATCTCTTGCCCCGATAACTCACAAGGTTTTGAATTTTTCTTAATCTTACCATTAAATAACTTACTTCATCACCAACTGTGATCTTGTGGCAAGTAACGCCGATAACCTGTGTAGCCAATTTTGCTTCTTAATGGCTGTGATAATGCATCAAAATTACAAATGGGGCATGCCTTGTAACCTTTTGTACTCCATCTAGATAGATTACCATAAGCAGAAAAATCATTTGTGGTCCACATAATAGT